GCCAGGCACCGGCTAGTTGCTGGGAGTGCAGCTTACAAGCTTGCATCTCGTCACTCCACACATGTACGTCTTAGAAATCAAAGACCATCTCATCCAACTCTCTCACTCTATAAGTGGGGAAACTGAGACTCAGAGAGTAGAAGGGACATACCCAAGGTCATGCAGTGAGCTTGTGGCAGACGAGGACTTAGATCCAGCTCCTGGCCCCCCCAGCAGGAGTGCAGGACTGCCAGGTGAGTGCGTCCCATATAGCTGCACGTGTGCCAGGGGCCTCCCTCTGCACGGTCATCAGCCTCCCTCAGGTTGCAGGTGGGCCTCGCGTGGGTCCGGAATTCCAGATACAGCCCAGCAGGTGAGCTGCAGAAGGCTAAGACCACCTCCATACTCAACCTATACGCTCCTCCTCGTGTGCTCCTAAAATTTCCTGCTTCACAAAATTCATGCAAATGGAACTTTTCTTAGCAAGCTGGGCAGCCAGGGACAGGCCAGTGAAGCCTGGGAGGGAGCCCACTCATGTCCCCATCTGCCCACAGCTGTTTCCATGAGGATTTGTGTAAACACTCGTCAACCCTCAGAGGCTCACTGGACAGGAACAGCTCCCGGGCACATTGCTCCAGGACCCCCGCAGCTGCAAACACAGAAGTGGCCTTTTTCTCTCCACCACTGCCTTGAACCACCTCCCATTGAGAGTAGAGCTGTGGGCAGAAACACGCATTTGCCACTGGAGGTCATTTCAGTCCAGGCTGTGTGACTTTGGGCCTGTCACTTAACTTCTCTGAATTTCAGTTCTCCTATCTATAAAATGGAGCTGATAATGTCACCTCCCTCACTGAGAGGTTGAAAGGATGAGAGGTCACCGAAGTAAAGGGCACAGGGCTTGGCACACACTTGTCCCCAATGACTTCTAGTCGGTACTGTTATAACTAGCTCCCCTCCTGCCTGGCAGAGGCCTTCAGGAGGCAAGGAGGTCATTCCCATGCACCAGGCACTTCACGTGTGTTATCTCATTTACCCCCGAGTACCCTGTGAAGTGGGCAGAGGTGTCTGTGTTTACGAAGTTCGGAGACTCAGTGAGCACACGGGCCTTGTCCAAGGCCACCCTGGCGGTGAGCAGCAGTGCCGAGTCTCACACCAGGCCTGTCTTACTCCAAATGCCACTTCTGCCCCCACCCTGATTCCACTCCTGCCCTTTAGAATGTCTCCCTGCAGCTCTGATGTCCACACTGACCCGTCAGCCTGCCCGCCATGCCAAACACTAAAATGACAGAGCCCAGCCCTCAGCCGCAGTCAGCATTAGCAGAGTGTATCGGTGTCTAGAGGGTTTCTGTTAATCATCACGGAAAAGTACGTTTGTCTCAGCCGGAGACGGACCAGTTCTTCATCCTCGGGGTTTAGAACAAGCTACTTGCTGAAGTCTGGATTCCAAAGGACATTTGGAACAAATTTAACACAAGCCTGTACCATTCCCCTACTCCCAAGGAGGTAAGGGACGCCCCCTCTGTGTTTCCTCACGGAGACCCTAATCCCAAGGCTCTTGGAGCATTCGTGTCTCAGGGCTCCGTCACTGCCAGGTGCGGTCCCTGCCAGATGAGGCAAGTGGCCCAGAGACTCTGTCTGCGTCTGGCTTAGCAGGGTCGGGCCTAGTACACAGCCTCTCCTTCCCTGGGACTCGGTGGCACAGGCTGGGGCAGAGCCCAGCCCTCAGCCGCAGTCAGCATTAGCAGAGTGTATCGGTGTCTAGAGGGTTTCTGTTAATCATCACGGAAAAGTACGTTTGTCTCAGCCGGAGACGGACCAGTTCTTCATCCTCGGGGTTTAGAACAAGCTCCTTGCTGAAGTCTGGATTCCAAAGGACATTTGTTAATCATCACGGAAAAGTACGTTTGTCTCAGCCGGAGACGGACCAGTTCTTCATCCTCGGGGTTTAGAACAAGCTACTTGCTGAAGTCTGGATTCCAAAGGACATTTGGAACAAATTTAACACAAGCCTGTACCATTCCCCTACTCCCAAGGAGGTAAGGGACGCCCCCTCTGTGTTTCCTCACGGAGACCCTAATCCCAAGGCTCTTGGAGCATTCGTGTCTCAGGGCTCCGTCACGGGCAGGAGAGGCCAGCCTTGGGGACAGACCCCTTTCTTCCCCAGGCTCCGGTCTCCTTTACTGAATGAACAGCAGAAACAGGTGTTTCCAGAGCACTGGGAGGCTCCTCCCCTCCTTCCACCTGCGTGAAAACGCGCCTGCTGTCCCCGGGCCTTCCGACCTAATGCGCCTTCTTATGTCACTCCATGCACCTGCACCTGATGCTAGGAAGCGCTAATTAGCCTCCAATTTCCCTGGTGATGTCCCTACTCCTCATGCAGACCCATCTCAGCTCTCCTCCCCTGTTCAGGTGCACGCTCAACTTGAAGGGGTGAGATGGGACATGTTTTCTCAGGGGACAAGTGACCCTGCACACGCCAGTCTCGATTCTGGTGCCACAAGAAATGGCTCCTCTCCTGCTCCCAGACGGGAGGGCTCAGCATGCAGGTCTCACGTGAACCTGGAGACCAGCAGACAAAGCTGCCGGGGCTCTGGCCTGTACGACCTCTTCTGCCCCATCTTCCCTGCTCCCTGACCCACAGGCCACATTCCAGATACACAGAAAAAGTGTGACACATCACATTTCTAGTTAGGGTTTTTTCTGTGAAAGAACCAAAGAAACTAATTTCTTTCCTTTTTTTTTTTTTTTTTCCTGCATTTTCCAGTGACCACCATGGAAATAAAGAAAGCTGTTAAGGAATATTACAGCAGGGGGGACGTGAGCGCACAGACTTTGCTGTCAGGGAGCTCTGGGTTTGAACCCCTGTTCTGCTACCTGCCAGCTCTGGAGACTTGAGCTGGGACTGGGGCTCCTGAGCCTCCACCTCCTGATCCATGGGACAGGGAGGTGACACTAGTGGCTTCCAGGGCCGCCGTGTGGATCCCACGGGACGACACGTGCGAGCCATTCGGCACAGCCCTGGCACAGAGTCATGCTTGAGAAACAGCAGCTATTTTCATGCTATTTCGTGTTATTTTCATGAAGCATCTTATTAGAAAGATAAACACAAAAGGACAGAAAAAAAGGAGCAGAACGAGGCGGGGGAGGAGCGGAATATCTCTAACTTGGGGTCACTGGGAGGAGGGACTGTCATGGCAACACTCCCCCCACCTCAAATCCTAAAATGGGCTTTCTTTTTTTTTTAATTTAATTTTTTTTAAAAGATGACTGGTAAAGGGACCTTAACCCTTGGCTTGGTGTTGTCAGCACCGCGCTCTCCCAAGTGAGCCACGGGCTGGCCCCTAAAATGGGCTTTAAATGGGATCTGAACTCTGACCCTTTAACAGAGCTGTTTCTAGAGTGTCCCCTCTTTGAAATTGGGAGCAAGGACAGGACCCCAAGTCTTCCAGCCGGAAGCTCTGGAAGAGAAGCGGAGTCCAATGTGTGGCTGTCCCCAGGCCCCCTTTCTTTACAGCCGTCACTAATTGATTTGCCCGTTGTGTCCCCCAGCCTGGGCTCTGCCCCGCAAGCCACTCTGACACAGAACTCCGGTCACCACCACCACGCAGACAGGCTTGGCGAGGATGGGAAATTCCTGGCCTCATTTGGGGACCGCCCCAGGGATAGGACCTGGCGCGGGCGCTCAGTCTCTGAGCTGCTGCTCCTGCTGCCGCCGTGTCTCCAGAGCCCCCCACACCTGGGGAGGCACCTTCAGAGCCCTGCTTAGGGTTTGGAGGACTGCAGGGACAGTCCTGGCTTCACACCTTGGTGACCACCAGGTGGCAAGATGGGCTCAGGGAGGCAGTTTGCAGGGAGCAAGCGCTGATGTGTCTGCCCTGAGAGCCCCTGCAGCGGCAGGCCCATCCGATAAATGAGTGACACCAGCTGAAAGGTTGCAGCACAGTACCAGTGGCAGCTCGTGAACGCTCTGCATCAGGCCTGAGTTAAGTGCTCTGTGGGCACGACCTCACTGGCTGCCCTTATGCCCTTCCCATGTCGAGGTTCCGAGGGGACAAGTGGCTTTCTCACAGTTGTGCAAGAAACAAGGGGAGGGACTTCGAGGAATTGGATTGCTCTGCATCAGGCCTGAGTTAAGTGCTCTGTGGGCACGACCTCACTGGCTGCCCTTATGCCCTTCCCATGTCGAGGTTCCGACGGGACAAGTGGCTTTCTCACAGTTGTGCAAGAAACAAGGGGAGGGACTTCGAGGAATTGGATTTCTTTAACCTAACGATGCGAGCTTGAAACTGCTTCATTGGGAGAAAATGTCTCCACATCAACCAGATGCAGACCCTTCTGGCCTGTGCTCCATCCTGCAACACGGGAATGACGCTACCCCAGGGGGAGGTACCACACGTGTCTCCTGGGTACCCACCCTCTCCTCCTTCCTTAGCAACAGTTTGTGCATTTGGCACAGCAATGTGCTTAGTTACAGATGTTCACATCTGCACACCCCCAGGCTGCGACTGCCCTAGAGACCCCAGTCCGGCCAGTGAGATGTGAGCCGAAATCTACTGGCCAGGGCTCTGCTGTTCTCTCGATCAAAGGAAACCTGCTCAGCTGCTCACACCTCCTGTCCTTTACCTTTCTCCCATCCCCCAGCCTAGAATGTAATTAATGTCTGAGGGTCCTGCAGCCGTTTTGTGGCCGTGAGGCTGAGAGCAGGAAGGTAAAGGGCCCTGGGTCCCTGTTGTTACTGTGGGCTGGCCCAGTGGCCCTGACTGCAGACCTCTGGACTTACTGCTTTGTGGAAAAATAGATAAATCTGAATTTGGATGAGTCACTTTGGTCAGGCTTCTGTGACATACAGCTGAGTGCCACCCCTGCCTGGTCCCCCACCTCACTGGAGCCTTTAGTAAAGGAATACATTTAAGCCACCCTTCTTGCTCTGTGTGTGACAAAGCCTCGGGAAGTGAGAGTTAAAACAGCTGTGTCCACCGCACTTGCACTTGCACGGCCGCCTCTTCTCACAGATAGAAGGAGGAGAGATGGCCATGCTCAGCCTCGGGGGACCCAGCTCACCCTGGGGCTCCAAGGGAACCCAGCCCCTATCACAGAAAAAAGCAGACTTGGTTTTTGACCTGGGAGTTCATAGAAAAATCAGTATGTTGCACTTGGAAGTACCTGTGTCAGAATCACCTGGGGAGGCTGTTGAAACACGGATTCCTGGGCTGCACCCAGACCCTCCCAATCAAAATCCCTGGAGGTAGGAGGCAGGAATCTCATTTTAACAAGGCCCACCCTCTTCCCCAGGTGAATCCTACACGCTCTACAGTTTAAGATCCCCTGACCTGGTCCAATCTCTTTTCACATTTGGGAAAAGTGGTCCAGATGTCCCCTCAGCCTCCGCCACGTGGGCAACAAAAACGAGTGCCCAGCCCAGACCCCGCTCCCAGCCCAGGCCCCGCTCCCAGCCCAGACCCCGCTCCCTGCCCAGACCCCGCTCCCAGCCCAGACCCCGCTCCCTGCCCAGGCCCCGCTCCCAGCCCAGGCCCCGCTCCCAGCCCAGACCCCGCTCCCTGCCCAGGCCCCGCTCCCAGCCCAGACCCCGCTCCCTGCCCAGGCCCCGCTCCCAGCCCAGACCCCGCTCCCTGCCCAGGCCCCGCTCCCAGCCCAGACCCCGCTCCCTGCCCAGGCCCCGCTCCCAGCCCAGACCCCGCTCCCTGCCCAGGCCCCGCTCCCAGCCCAGACCCCGCTCCCTGCCCAGGCCCCGCTCCCAGCCCAGACCCCGCTCCCTGCCCAGGCCCCGCTCCCAGCCCAGACCCCGCTCCCTGCCCAGGCCCCGCTCCCAGCCCAGACCCCGCTCCCTGCCCAGGCCCCGCTCCCAGCCCAGACCCCGCTCCCTGCCCAGGCCCCGCTCCCAGCCCAGACCCCGCTCCCTGCCCAGGCCCCGCTCCCAGCCCAGACCCCGCTCCCTGCCCAGGCCCCGCTCCCAGCCCAGACCCCGCTCCCTGCCCAGGCCCCGCTCCCAGCCCAGACCCCGCTCCCTGCCCAGGCCCCGCTCCCAGCCCAGACCCCGCTCCCTGCCCAGGCCCCGCTCCCAGCCCAGACCCCGCTCCCTGCCCAGGCCCCGCTCCCAGCCCAGACCCCGCTCCCTGCCCAGGCCCCGCTCCCAGCCCAGACCCCGCTCCCTGCCCAGGCCCCGCTCCCAGCCCAGACCCCGCTCCCTGCCCAGGCCCCGCTCCCAGCCCAGACCCCGCTCCCTGCCCAGGCCCCGCTCCCAGCCCAGACCCCGCTCCCTGCCCAGGCCCCGCTCCCAGCCCAGACCCCGCTCCCTGCCCAGGCCCCGCTCCCAGCCCAGACCCCGCTCCCTGCCCAGGCCCCGCTCCCAGCCCAGACCCCGCTCCCTGCCCAGGCCCCGCTCCCAGCCCAGACCCCGCTCCCTGCCCAGGCCCCGCTCCCAGCCCAGACCCCGCTCCCTGCCCAGGCCCCGCTCCCAGCCCAGACCCCGCTCCCTGCCCAGGCCCCGCTCCCAGCCCAGACCCCGCTCCCTGCCCAGGCCCCGCTCCCAGCCCAGACCCCGCTCCCTGCCCAGGCCCCGCTCCCAGCCCAGACCCCGCTCCCTGCCCAGGCCCCGCTCCCAGCCCAGACCCCGCTCCCTGCCCAGGCCCCGCTCCCAGCCCAGACCCCGCTCCCTGCCCAGGCCCCGCTCCCAGCCCAGACCCCGCTCCCTGCCCAGGCCCCGCTCCCAGCCCAGACCCCGCTCCCTGCCCAGGCCCCGCTCCCAGCCCAGACCCCGCTCCCTGCCCAGGCCCCGCTCCCAGCCCAGACCCCGCTCCCTGCCCAGGCCCCGCTCCCAGCCCAGACCCCGCTCCCTGCCCAGGCCCCGCTCCCAGCCCAGACCCCGCTCCCTGCCCAGGCCCCGCTCCCAGCCCAGGCCCCACTCCCTGCCCAGGCCCCGCTCCCTGCCCAGACCCCGCTCCCTGCCCAGACCCCGCTCCCAGCCCAGACCCCGCTCCCAGCCCAGGCCCCGCTCCCAGCCCAGGCCCCGCTCCCAGCCCAGGCCCCACTCCCAGCCCAGGGCTTCTCCTGTCATGGCCTTCCTTTGACCTTTCCCGGGAAAAGGCCACTCAATGGCTCCCCTTCCCCACTGAGAATGCTCAGCTCAGCCCTGAACAACACCATCATTAAACTGGCTGGAAAGAAAAGTGCCATCCCTGCAGTCCCTGGCAAAGTGCATCTGGGGCACAGGCCTCAGCGCGCAGCCCAGCACAGCCCCATGGAGCCAGCAACCACCTCCTTTCTGCACCCTGTGTGTGCACATATGAGTGTGCATGTGTGTGTTTGCTCACACGTGTATGTAGGTATATGAGACAGCAGACTAGCTCCCCTCCTAGCCCTCTGCACCTGCACGTGTGTGCATATGTGTGTATATTACATGCGTGTGCCTGTATATGAGACAGAACACTAGGTCCTCTCCAAGCCCTCTGCACCTGCATGTGTGTATGCTTGTGTGCATGTGTGTGCGTGTGTGCATGTGTGTGTCCGTGTGTGCACATCTACACGAGACAGGCCAGCTCCTCCCCAAGCCCTCTTCACCTGCACGTGTGTGCTTGTGTACACGTGTGTGCGTGTGTGTGCATGTGCAAGAGACAGCATGCTAGCTCCTCCCCAGGTCCTGTGCACAGAAGCAGGTGATGAAGCTGAAGTCACTTCAGGACATACTGCTACCGAGAGGTTGGCAACGTCACCTCCACAGTCAGTTCTGCGTCTCTCCCAGCACTCAGCCCTGAGCTACAAATGTCACAGCCCTTGTCTTGTGGAAGCCACGTAAGAGCCCCAAGCGGCTGGTTCTGTGTCTCCACTTGACGAGGAGACTGAGGCTCAGGCTGGTGATTGTCTTGCCCGCATCCCTGCCAGTGTGCAGATGGGCTGGGGTTGAAACCCAGATGCCTCCTTTCCTGCAGTAGGGGGTTGGCCATGGTCATGAGCACCCCTGTCTGCTGAGCTGTCGACGCATGACCTCCCATCCTCAGAATGGCCCTGTGGGGCCACTTACTAGCCCCTTTCACTGACAAGAAGCCGAGGCTCGGCTCAGTGAGCCGACCCAAGGGGCCACAGAGCTGGGCGCCACAGAGCCAAGGTGGGGCCCTCGTTGTCTCGGGGTCTGAGTCTTTCCCTCCACCTGGAGTTACAGACGCAGGAGCCACAAGAGGAGGTGTTGATGGGGGTGAAGGGTCCATCCAGGAAGAGGGACATGTGGGCAGACATGGGGGCAGGGGCTGCAGGGGGCTGGGGTGGGGTGGGAGAGAGGCTGGGCAGTGCCAGGCCACAGAAGGTCTTGCTGAATTCTGATCACAGCCCTGAGTGTCACGCAGCGGGCCTGGGCCTGTTATCGTTGCAGGCCAATTTCCTGTTTCATTGCCTATGGCCCATTTCTCTAACCCACCAGCAGGAGGAGGGGAAGGTTGTGCTTGCATCTGAGTTGGAGGGGAGAGTTGCCGGGAGGGAGCGTCGGGGGTAAAGGACAGGCGGAGCCAGGGCCGGGGACAGGCAGGTGTGATGGGTGAGCCGGAGATGGCAGTGGCCGCACTGGTGACCGGGCCGGGCACACCCCACCTTCTCCTCTCAGCAGCCCCCAGGGTGCTTTTTCTTGGCTCCACCACGGAGGGAGAGGTGGAGAGGACCAGAGGCCAACACGAGCCCACCTCCCATGCCGCAGGAGGGAGCGGGTGTGAATTATCCTGAGCCATTGCATGAGGCAGCTGTGGCCCTGGCCCCGGAGTCTGTCACCAGAGCCATGTTGGAGCGGGTGTGATCACACTTCAGGAAATACTCCCTGGAACCCAGATGGAGAGCAGACTGGAGCTTCCCTGGGAGCTCTGCCTTTGAAGAACCCAAAGCATCTCATGTTTTCACGTGAGGGCTAATTTATTAATTTAACAGGTATTTACTGCCTGTGGCTGGTGCTCAGCTGGTCCCTGTCCTCAGGGGGATCCCAGCCTCTGTCAAGGGTGCTGCGAGTCTTGGGAGAGGCGGCACAGGTGGTTATGGGGTCACAGCCGCAGCCACATACAAACGCGTCAGCTCTGAACATGTGGCAGGTGCAGAGACTGGTCTGTCTCACGACAGCACCAGCGAGTAGGGACTTTCCTGCCTCCGCCCTACACCCCAGCCCGAGGGGGCAGAAATCAGATGATGGCGGGATGATGACTGGAGGAAGGACTGCCCCTCCCCAGTCACACAGGTAGACCGGCCTCCAAGTGGGTGGAGGGGAAACGTTTCAAGTTAAATCAGTGCTTAACAATTTAATTTAATTTAATTTAAGGTTAAACCAACATTTAAAGTTTGTCGGTGTTATTTTTACTTGGAACAAGACATTCTGCTTTCTGAATCGAGGTTGTGTCTTTGACAAGGTAGGGAAAAGTGGGACTCGTTGTCACCTAAGAATGACAGGAAATTGCAGACTAGCCCAAGTTCATCCAGGGTAGGACTTCCCTACCGAGTGCATTTTAAGGGAACCATCATCCCTTTAAAAGAGACAAGAATAAAGTTGTTTTCCTGGTTACACTGCATGAACCCTGCTTGTGCGACATCTCGGTTACATAGGTTGAGGAGTCAAGGAAAGCTTCCTGGAGGAGGAGGCACACAAGTCAAGACCCCAGAGAGGAGCCAGCCTTTGTCCTTTGCTCACTGAAGCGATGCCACGGGCCAGAGGGAAAAGCAAGCCGAGGTGCAGAAGGAGACAGAGATGCTTCCTGTCTGAGCCCAGGTCAACCAGGCAGGTGTCTGGTGCTGAGCAGGCTCAGGCAGGAACCCAAGTCCAGACCTGTGTGTGTGTGTGTGTGCATGTGTGCGTGCGTGTGTGTGTGTCGGGGGGAGGTCTTTAGCTGCTCTTTAGAGGATGGATTTAAGGGGGGCCCGGAGCAGGGAGCCCAGTGCAGGGGCTGCTGTTCTTGTCTGGATGAGGGATGGTGAGGTTGGGACGTGGTGGTGGCCAGCCTGGTGGGAGGATTCAAGGTTGAGTTTGCAGCTGGAAGGGCCAGACGTGGGGGGAGGGAGAGAAGGTGGGGCGACTCCAGCCCCTCCTGCTCGGGCAGCAGCGTGCCTGGAAGAGCCTATCACAGGATGGCGTCCCATGAAGGAAGCACGTGGGGGACAGATGCAGAGCTCAGGGGCCGCAGTGGCCCCGAGGTGCTGATGAGCTCCACCGCTGGTGCCAGCCACTTCTAGAGCTCCGGGGAGAGGTCCGGGCTGGGCATGTGATCTGGAGGTCCCGAGGATGGCAACTGCAGCCAGAGACACAGAAAACCTCCCAGGGAACACTTGGAGTGGAGCAGAGAGGAGGTGGCAGAGCCCTCCAGGAAGGCAGTGCTCGGGGACAGGCAGAGGAGACTTAAAAAATGGGACTCCTGTCCCAGAGCTGGCGCCTCCAGTGTCCCCGGCGGGCCTTCAGCGAGGCTCACCCCTCTCACCCCGCACAGTCACCACCGGTGGAGACGCGTTTAGGCCCCGAGCCTCGTCTGGGGCAGCCTGGGTCCCGGCTGCAGCCTCCCGATGCGCCTGCAGCACTCCACGCGTCCCGGGCCGCACCTGCTCCTCGCAAGAATGGAGCGTCTGCCCACATGACACGGGCCAGGCCACAGCCCCCCGGGGTCACCCGAAAGCCTCCCCCTCCTACTCCTCCTCTTCGTCCCTTCCTCCTCTCTTCTCCTCCCCCTCCTCCTCCCCCTCCCTCCTCCTCCCTTCCTCCTCCTCCCTTCCTCCTCTCTTCCTCCTCCTCCCTTCCTCCTCTCTTCCTCCTTCCCCTCCCTCCTCCTCCTCCTTCCCCCCCCTTGGCATTGTGCTTCCTACGCCTAGTGGCTAAGTCATTTGGCCCAGGGACTCAGTAGTACCTGTCACCAAGAGTCCACTCTGCACGTTGAGGTGCATGTGATTTGTGCTTCTCTCTACTTTGTATTTTCATTTGCTCAGAATATTGGATGGTCACGATTATTATCTGAGAAGCAATCATTTGCTTTTCTCTTCTTAATACATTCTCCCTCTGCTTCTTCCCAGGTGATTGTTCCGTGGTAGCCTTTCTCAGATTCTTGGAACTCCTGCACTATTAAAGATAGCTGTAAGGGGATGTTTTTTCAGTAACGCTTTGGACCATGTTATTGATGCTACATTGCAAGGCTGACTTTGGAACGACATGATGGTTAATACTTTGCTTTATGATGCTAGTAATGCTAGCATTTTTCTTCTTCTCCTCCTCCTCCTCCTCCTCCTCCTCCTCCTTTTTCCTCCTCCTCCTCCTCCTTCTTTCTCCTCCTCCTCCTCCTCCTCCCTCCTCCTCCCTCCTCCTCCCTCCTCCCTCCTCATCCCTTCTCCCTCCTCCTCCTCCCTCCATCTACTTACTCAAAGCTCTTCCCTCCATCTACTTACTCAAAGCTCTTTGAGATTCAAGGGGGCGTCAGCTCTAGAGCTGGAAGAAGGGGTG